ATTTTCTATAATATTTTTTTCGAAAATTTAATATTTAAAATAATTTTTATTTTGCCAATTATTTATTTATAACTAATATTATAAATTTTAGACGTGACATCTTTTGTTTGCAAAAATTTGCAACTTTCATAATTTTTAGAAAATTTGCAAATTTTTATTAAAACAATTTTTATATTTTCAAAATTCTGCGTAAAACCAAAATGCATTTAAATTATTTTTGACGTAATAGTTTATTTATATAAATTACATTGCAAAATTAAAAATAATAAATTTAGCAAAAAAAATTTCCACGTCAAATAAATGCATTTTAGTCCATTTTTCCTTAGTTTTTCCTTAAACAGTCAAAATAAATATAAGACTTTTTTCTAGGAATAACTTTTAAAATTACAAAACTCAAAAGTGTTAAGCATAAATTAGTTATTCTACCTTTATATTCATTTTAAATATCAAATTGAATGATGAATTGTATTGTATTTTTTATATTTAAGTAATGTCTTTGTAAATTTCAGTGATTAAGTTTTTATTGAATTTTATTTTTTTTGTCATAAAATAAATTTCTAATATTAAGTTATTTGAAAAATGTATCGTGTTTAAATATATAGAATAAAGATTCCTAATATTACATTTGTCATTTTTCTTTTCGCATAAAACCTTCTACTTTCATTTTTTTTAGTTTTGTTTTAATTAGTTTCAATTAGATAAAAAAATATTTCTCCAAAAAAACTGATAATGATGTCACAAAGGATTTTAAATTATATATTAAAAGGCTTGCCTATTTTCCAAATCTTTATAAAATGTACTATTTGTTATTATTTGGGATATTTACTTTTCTTGCTTTTCAAATAATTAATGCTAAATCAAATCTCATTTAAATATTCAAGATAACGTAAAAAGCTTATTTTATTTTATAATATGTTTTTTTTTATCAAACAAGATTGTTTGATATAAAAAATTACAGAAAAGGTTGTAATAATAATATAAACAATTATTAAATTAAGAAATATGCCAATTTCTTGTATTATAACTTGATTTTTTAAAGTATTTTAAAAAAAGTTTTTAGTATTTTCTAACTTATCCTATTTGAACTTTATATTAAATTAAAAGTTTTTTTATATTTTAAGTTTTTGTTCAAAAAGTTAAACAACCTTTTAATTAAGACCACAGGAGTTCATTCTTAGACTCTTGTCAATATAAATTTAAAATATCGACGATTAAAACTATACTTGGCTTAATTTATTTAGAGGTTAGGTTGTGATTTGAGTAGTTGATATTAGTCAAATAAAGTCAAAGTCTTTTAAGATTAAAATTTATTAGAAAGAAGATTTTCAATATTCTAAACATCTTAAAAGATGAAAAATGTCGTAAAATATTAATACATAGAGAATGTAGACTTTATGGAACAACTCGATTTTCTAAACTTATTTTATCAAATTGTAGTATTTTTAAAATGTTATTCACAATTTGCACAACAGATTAGAAAACAAAAAATTTTTCATAAGTTTTATTTTTCTTAAAAAAATAGCATTTTTTAAAGAAAAAAACAAAAAGTTTTTTTATTTCATTGCCCTTTGAAATATTTACATTAAAAATAAATAATATTTTCCTGATTTTTAAAATTATAAACTTAAATAAAAGGCTTTTATCCCGAACAAATCATTTTTATGCCGTTATAAAATAAAAATTTTTAGAAAAATAAATAAAAATTTTTTAGATTTAACCTTAATTAAATCATTTTGATTTTCCAGTTTAAATTTTTTATATTATTAAAATAAGGATAAAATAAAGCACAAATGTTATGTTTGTGATTAGATAAATACATTGAGAAGTTTGGATAAGTTTGATCTAAATTTTGAAATAAAAATAATTCTACAAAATTATAAGAGATTCGAGCAAAATTTTTTTAAAACATGTTAGATTATAAATAAAATAGAGAGTTACTGGTCATGGAATATACTAGGGTTAGTAAATTGGATCAATTTTGTAGTATTTTACTTATTTTCAGCTTGATGATCTAAAAGATTTAGAGAAATAGTAAGAAACAATATTATACTTACATACAATATTATGCATGTATAAATTGATTCCAAAAAAAAAATTTACAAATTTTTTCCTATAAAGAAAAACTCAAGTGAGTAAAGTGTCTAAAGAACGAAGTATACAACTTCTAACTCTTAAAATCATAAAATATATAATTAAAATAAAAAAAGTTTTAAAACAAAGATTAGAGACAAAATATTAATATGTTATTCTGTATCTTTTTTCTAACCAGTTATGTCTTTAAAAAAATTTTTTACGTCTTATGAACTCTATACACTTGTCGGCATAGTGTTTTTTATATTAAGAATTTATTTATACAGTCTTTTTTTGTTATAAAAATGAATTTAAGATAAATTATTTATTAGATAACCGCTGTTATATACTGAAAAATATGCATTGCAGAATAGATTTTTAATTTGGTTAAATCGTAAAAAAATTTTAACTTGGCATTTTTGTTATATTTTTAAAAATACAATAAATAATTTTTGAATTTATAAATTTTTTAAATATTATATGCAAGGAATTTCAATTCAATGATTATCTTAAGTATAAAGGGATGCATTTTAAATTAGAAAATTAAAGTGTTTTTTGTGAAAAAGATACTTTATTGAATAAAATAGTGTCTTATTAGGGTTGAAACTCACTAAATATGTTTGAAATTTAGATACAATCTTTAAAGTTTATTAAAATATTTAAGTTATTTTAAGTTTTAAGTTAAAGTATTTAAGAAATCCTAAAACCAAATAAAAATGTCATATCAAGTAAGTTTACAAATTCGATTTAAAAAATTTTTTACTTATAATTTGGTCGTTTTTTCTCTTTTTTGTTTTTCTTCCGACAAAACGATTTATAAAGTAAATTACCTATTAATTTAAGTTGCGTAGAAATCGAGCCTTCGTCTCTTGATAATTTATTATAATTTCTCTAAATATATGCAATATTTTTTATATTTTAATAATATAATTAACATACACAATATAATCAACGCTGAAAGAAAAATTGCTTCATATACAGCAAGGATGAGCAACCCGCGGGCCGAGGGCCGCATGCGGCCCGCCGGAGGTTTTTCTGCGGCCCGCCAAGCATTTCTTAACTACAGATTATTTTTCTAGATATTTTATCAAATACAGCTGTAAAGGCTAATTTTGATATCAGTCAAATACTGGTAAAAACTGTTGAAATAGCATTTCCTAATAAAATAAATATTAATTTAAACATTAGTTAACAATATTGCAAGAAAAATTGAGAACTTGTCGCGAGATTTAAATCATTATTTTTAGATATGAAAAAACAATTGTAGTAATTTCGTCATTTAGGTAATAAAGAATAATATCTTTTGATTAGTATCTTACTTTCAGGAAACGAAAATGTGAACAAATTTTAATTGTAATTCCAAATATTCAAAGCTAACAAAACAGCTGTTCTCATGTATATGTTTTCTTCGCCATTTACCATGCAAATTAGTACAGATTTAGAAAATGTATTTTTTCAGTAAACATCGCAATTTTTTATAAATCTCATGTCAGCCCTAAGAAATTTTCGCTTTTGAAAAAAAAAATCAAAATCAAATTATATTTTTGAAAGTACGTATGTGTGCAAACAATTACACAGATCCACAAAAGAAAAGTCGCTGGATAATAATTCATTCATTCAGAAAAAATGCTAAAAAATGGCAGTTTTTAGATGTGATTCTTGTGCCAATTTTTAATTTTGCTGCAATTACATTATTTCCGCCCTCAGTCAACAAATCTTTTGACTTAATTTTAGTTCAGACTTTTGAGTTTATGAAAAAGCTTCAATTTTATTTTAAAAGAAAAAGCAATTTATTTTTATCATGGGTTGTAAGAGCGTAACACTTTTTTTAAATTTTGTTCTTTATTTTAAAGGTGTTAACCAAAACCTTTTTTAAGTCTTCTTTGACTTTTGTATCTTTGATATTTTTTAATTTTTTATCAAGCTTGTTTTTAAGATCGTCTCCCATTTTCATTTCCCAAGCTTGAAATAAATTAAGACCAAATCTTCTTTAAAAATCTCATTTGATGCTTCTAGTCATTTTTCTTTAAAAGAAATTTTTTTGAATAGATTTTTTTGTATTTAAATTCAAATTCTTTCATTTTTCTTAAAAAGAATATAAGGTGAGCTCTATTTTTCTGCAAAATTTAAGTCCTAAATAAGATAAGTCCAAATAAATATAATTTTTTGTTATTTTTCTTAAAATTTTGTTTTTAAACTCAGAAAAATTTTCAGAATTAGATGCTTCATCTGCCACATTAAAGTAATTCTTAATGAAGCCTCCTGTTTCCAAAAAAATCTTTTCCAACTCCATCTTCTTAGCTTCGGGAAGTAATTCTTTGGTTGTATCATGATTGTATTGTTACTTCCTTCCATTGAGTGTATTGAGGTACTGTTGTATTATTCATGAACTTAAGTAACAAGAAGAAATAGAGTAGCATAATAAGGGCTAAAATTTTAATTTTTATGTTTAAAAAAAGGAGAATTCTGATTTATTCTTTGGTGTATTAAATTTACCTTAAAAGATAATTGTTGAAAGTTTATCTGTAAATAACATAAATTTTTAAATCTAATCTAAATTTTTACCTTTATTAACACACTTTCGGCGGATAGGATTTCGGGCTAAGTTACACCCGTAGCGGGGTTTTTACAACGGTGCGAATGCGTAAGCATGGCGTGAAAGCACACTCTTTAACATACAATACTTACTGCCTAAACTCATACGCAGTAATAAATAATAGAATAATATTAAGTTATTTGGTAAAACTATCAATACTGAAGGTAAAATATTTGCAAATGAAGTTGAATATTATTACGCTATGATACATATGTTTAACCATATATAACATATGTTCAAGCAATAAAATAAAAAATGTAATTAAACCTGAAAATTTGAAATAAAATACACAAAAAAGTTTTTTATACGTTTGCTTACGTAATTACACATAAGTTTAATCACTGAAATAAAAAAAATAATTTATTCATAAAAAATAATAAAACAAAATACACAGAAAAGTTTGTTATACGTTTTTTACGTAATTATACATAAGTTTATTCACTGAAATAAAAAATAAATGTAAACATGAAAATGAATAAAACAAATACATAGAAAAGTTTTTTTTATTGAAAAAGTTAAATAAATTAAATATTACAATAATATAATTGAGTGTTAATAATTTGCTAGTGTGTGATATTTAAAAAAACACTCTCCTTTATGCAGAGGCACACAGCACATTTGGCACATAAAACATGACAAACTTTTTTTTTTGTTTTTGGAACATACAGTACATTGGCGTTGAGGTTTTATCTTTGACCCACCCGTGAAAATTTTAATTAATTTGTGACTCTGTAAATTTTTTAACCTAATTGGAATACAATTTCTTTGTGGGGGTATATTTTGGCATTGAGTAATGTTGTCCATTTCTATCCATTCTTTTGACACTTCATGTAGAAACCATTTATAAGTTTTATTAGAATTTGTATTTAACTTTTTATATACTATATATGCATTAAACAAAGCACAATTTATTAAATACATAACCATTCTTTTGGTCCATTTTTTCGTACGGCGAACTATAGAAAAATATGAAAGGTATTGATCAGCACGATCAACACCCGACATATATTTGTTATAATCTATAACACAGATGGGTTTCCAGATTTTTTCGCGCGTTTTCCATTCTATATTATGGCTTTCAACCATAGCAGCCGAATGAATTGTAGAAATCATTTGGACTATTCTTTTTGATTGCCAGCATTGTAACAAAACTTCTTGGCGTCTTCTAAATACTGTCTCTCCTCTTTTAAGTTTTAAATTTTTAAGTTCTTCAGGAAGGCCCCTGTTAGTCCTTATAGTTCCACAAATCCTAGTTTTATTTTGTAGTAATAATAAACTTGTATTTACACTATTATAAAAATTGTCCATATATACATGATGCCACAAATTTAAATAAGGTTCTAATATATCTAATATAGTTGACTGTAAACTATTGCCATTTCCACAATAAATTTTTAAGTTGCATATGTAGCCTGACTTTGCTTCGCAAACCATTCTAATCAGAATACCATATTTTACTATTTTTGATGCGTTATATACTTTGAATGAAAGCCGACCCCTCCAAGGCATAACACTTTCATCTAAAGATAATTCTCTTTCTGGTTTATAAACAATTCTAAACTTTGGCAAAAGATAATTTATTATTGGACGAACCTTACTAAGACGATCATTTTCAATGACATCTTGTTCGTTGTTCGCAAAATGCCATGAACTCCAAATTTGCCGAAACCGATCTCTGCTCATTATCTTCGCAAAAAATGGTGTTGATATAGTCTCTTCTGTCGACCAATATTCATCGCGAGTGTCTTTGCGAACTCTACCCATCAATAATAACAAACCTAACATCTTTTTGATGTCTTTGCCTGTTACATCTTTCCACTTTATAGATTTTCCACCGGTACTGAGTCTATTTAAATTTTGCATATGATAGCGATTTGTTTCTATCGCCATATGCTCTATCAAATCATCTCCTATAAATAATTTAACTATATCTATCACACTACGAATATAAGGAATTGCAGAAACACCACTATTTCCAACAAAGGGTTCAATAACTGGAGTACGATCACTTTCCACTGGCAACCAACTTGGGCACTCGTCTCCACTTTCTTCCGAATCACTTGATAAAATTGGCATAACTCTATTCCGTCTAGTACGAAACAAGTCATCATTATCACTATCACTATCACTATCAAAGTCATGAAGATTTCCAATATCTGATATTTCAGATAAATTGTCAGCATATACTTCACTATCGTAATCAGAATCCATGATAAATAATAAAAATTGATTTAAATGAATGCAAATATATAGAATAAAATGTTGATACGTTTGGTGACAAAAGACTTCTAAATAAACTACTTATTTTAAATTTATATATATTTGAAGATTTATTTAGGCAATAGGAAGTAACAGGTTATTAAATACATTTAATTCCGTTGAATTCTTTCAAATAAAAGAAATTGGATAATAAAATACGAGAAATATGATATCATACATTTTCAAATTACCTGTAATCCAAGCACAATTGAAAAACATTTCACAAAATTCGCCATTCAACAGTAAATTAATGAATCAGTTTTATTACTTGCCGGATACTGTATTTGATAAAATTACCTGTTGCTGGTACAGGTACGTAAATTAGACAAAGTAAGTCCATTCTCCAATTATGTATAAAGTACCTATATCACTTATAATCATACTATATACAATCTAGAGTTTTACGTTGGAAATTCGATTGTTTGTAATATTGTACGAAATTAATTTTTATGGTGTATAAATTAGTGACAAACCTAATAGAATTACATAAAAAATAATATGGTTTTATAAGCTACGTTCGACTGTTTGTAAAAATGTAATGGCTTATTTTTAACATTGTATTTGAAAATTAAATTATATGAATTATCAAAACGCAATAAATACAAAGATAATAGCAAAATATATAAATGATAATATAGTAAAAGAAATAGTATGTTTACCAAAAATGCTGACGTAAAACATATCGTATTTAATAAAATACCATATATTTATGTAATATATACGTATTTACGTATCGAAAATAATTTTAAAGAATAAATTATAATTTTATTATAGCTCTATATTAAATATAAAACTAGCGTTGCAACCGCTCATAGTAAGAAATTTCGTTCGCTCTTCGCATGTAGCGTGTCCGACCGAGTACCCGAAAATACCCGCACCCGCAGTTGAATGACAATCCTAAAATCGAGTACCAGTACCAGCACCGCCGAAAGTGTGTTAGTGTGATAAAATATTACAATAATTTTTAGAATAGATAATCTTTATTATTTAGGATCCATTTTTAATATTTCTTTTTAAATTGAAATGGATTATTAAAAAATGGCATAATGGATTTTCAAATATAAGACATTTTAAGTCATTAATTAAAATATAAGAGTCAATAAAATTCTTTTATAAGTTATTTTTATTCAATTTAGCTTATAAAATTTTTTGGAACAAAAATATTTTCTGTAAGATATTTTTTACTGGAATTGTTTGAAAAAAAACGATTTTTATAGTTAGTGGGTTAAATACACAACATTGTGATAAAATAATTATTATGTAAAATAATCTTAATATTACATAAAGATTCTACAAAATCTTAAAAGAAGATGAATTTTTGTTTATAGTAATGTTTGAATTACTAAAATCAGTTTATTGTTTTCTTCATCGATACTTTGAATTCTTAAGCCATAATTGACGAGATAAACATAAACAACCCTTGTATATTGCATTTTTTCTGAATTTTCTTAAACTGAAATTAAAGTACGCATATAAACATCATAATAAATCAAACAACTTTTCTTTTAATTGTTTTAAATTTTAATTAATATTATAAATGTTATATATAAATATTTATGCAAAATATAATAACAATTGTGGTATTTTTAGCAACTTTTGACGGATAATCTGATCAGATTTTGATATTCATTTATAACAATCAGTTTCTCAGCTTGAATATCATGTTTATCATTTTCATATAGGCATTTATAGCTATTTTTTGCTTTGCAAAAGAGTTTTTAATTTATTCTGATTTTTTAGTACGATTAGCAAAAATTAATGTATAATCTTAAGTTGAGTGAAAATATCAATTTTATCAAAAAGAAAAATAGTCTGTAATCTTTCCAAATATAAATACATTCATCAGTTTAAAAAATAATGAGAATAATGTTTTAACATTTATATAAGTTAAAATTTGATTTAAAATTAAAGTATAGAAAAAATATCAGAAAATATTTTTATTTATTTGAAACATTTAATAAGATAAAGATTAACCCAAACAATAAAAAAGTATCAATCTTATTTTGGTTTTAATGTTCCTAAGTTTTATTTTATTTAAAAAATTACAAGTTTCTATTTAACCAAATTAGACTTTATTTCTACAATTTGACATTTTTTGAAAAAAAGTTATTTTCTTTTTATGTTTAACTTTTTTTATTAGTTATAAATGTTGATAGAGATTTTGTATAAAGTGCTAGGATTTTATAAGAATTATTTGCTTTTTAGATGAAACATATCAAACATTTATCACTAAAGGATCTTTGATGGGTATAAAGTATAAAGCTAGTAATAAAGAAATCCTGTCTCTTACAAAAAAAAAACAAATTTTGGAAATGATTTTTGGGCTGGATTACAAAAAGGCAAGATTATATAGAAGATAAAAAAAGTTGCAAGCAAATAGAGAATAGCTCAAAAAGGAAATCTATCAAAAGAAAATAACAAGAGAACATAAAAATATAATCTACCATGTTACAGGTAATAATATTTAAGCTTTTCTTAGAATTGGGGCTCGAACGGAAACCACTTAAGAAAGAATATTAGATAATTAAGATAAAATTATTATGTCTGTTGCTACACTTTGTTGAAAATATAAAAAAAATAGCATTAAATTTTAACAAACCTAACTATGTAACAAACAATATGGAATATAATGATAATGAAAATCAGAGCATATGCTTTATTTAAAATTTAAATTTTAAGAATTTTTTAGATTCTGATGTGAAAAAAATTAAAAATTTGATCGGAAAACGCGAGATTAAAAATGTTCTTAATTAGAAAACAATTACAAAAATGTTTTGCTAAATAAATTGTTACATATTAAAGCCGATTGTAATGTAAGAACAAAGCATTTAAAAACGATGAGAAAGAATTTTTATTGCTTAAAAATAAAAGGATAGAACAAATTGAATTTCAATGTAAACAAAAGAAACTAATTAAAAAAAAATTAAATAAGAATATATTATCCCATTTTTCTTTTTTCTAAACTTTTGCTAAAATATGATAAGCAAAGGCCTTTATAAACATAAAATATTAAATTAACACCTAAAACCCAAAGTATTTTAAAATTTGAAAGAAGTTAATAAGCTAAAAAACCAAACAAAAATAACAAAAGAATTCTAACATAATAAATTTTATGTAAAAGATATAAATAAAAGCAGACTCGTCCTTATAAAACGGGGCATAAAATAATTTCGATATATTAAAATTATCCTATAAGTATCATGGTTAAATAAATATTAAATTTTAGTCGAAATGAGTTGATAAGTCTCTGTAATAGAATATGGTTTATAAGGCTTGGGTGATTGCAGCTTTCTTGTCTTTTTGGAATAAAATATATTTAGATAGACTATAACTCATTCAAAAAATTTATTATAGTTACATTTAAAGTGACAAGAATTGGTTTCATTGTGCATTGTGAACAATTATAATTAGGAAATAATTAGGATTATTATATATTAGTTTTAATTAATAATTTTATCTGTACTTTCAAAATAGAGTCCACTGAAGATGACACAAAACTATGTGTCGAAACGTATGGAAAAAATAAAAACGTTTTAAAGTCATACAAATTTTTTAATTGATGTATTGCCCTGAAAACTGAATATCATATATATATATATATATATATATATATATATATATATATATATATATATATATATATAATCTTTAAAAATATAACCGTACTATACAAAATCAATTTTAAAATCGGTTCAGTAATTTTACATTCTAAAAGAATATAATAATCCTACAATGCATTTTCCAAATATTTTAGTTATATTTGACTAGTTTTGAAAATATTAATCTAAAAGACCTTATTTGACTATTTCGGTAGAAACAAATTAATTATTGATTTTATGAGCAACACATTTTAAATAATTTTTTTATGAAAAGTTCCAAATCGATTGATACGGCTTTATTTCATTACCTTTTAAACGATATCACATAATATATTAATATTGTAACTAAATTATTTCGTATTTTGACAAAATGTAAATAAATGTAACCGTACTGTTATGATATATGATTTTTGACATTTGACGGTTTTTTACAAAGTAATTTTGTATAAACAGATTTGAAACTGTTATAGTAGTTTTGTTAACAATTTTATTATCTTTTCAATGATATTACATAATATATATTTATCGTATAGAATTCTTATAAAATTTAGCTAATCATGAAAAATCCGAAAAATAAATAAGATTTAATTGATTTAAATATATAATAGCGCACTATCTTGAAGTTTGATGGTGTTTTGTAATAAGTTTGTTAGAAAGGTTTTTAATTGTTATATGCAGTTTTGTAGATATTTTTATTAGCTTTCTAGCGATATTACAGGAATTATATTTACTATATTAAATTATTATAAAATTTAGCTTACCCTAAAAACATGTAACCGCCTGACGTTCTGTAAAAATGAGATCTAAATACCTAATAGCGCACGATCTTAAAGTTTGACGGTGTTTTTTCAGATAAATTTGTTAGAAAAGTTTTAAATTGTTGTATACAGTTTTGTAGATAATTTTATTAGCTTTCTAGTGACATTACATAATATATATATTTACTAAATTAAATTAATATAAAATTTAGCTAACCATGAAAAAACATACAAAAAAAATGAGATTTAAATACAATAGCGCACGGTCTAAAATTTTAAAGTTTGATGGTGTTTTTTAAATATGTTTGTTAGAAAAGCTTTGAATTGTTCTACTACTATTGTATACAGTCTTGTGGATAATTTTATTAGCTTTTCAACGATATTATATAACATATATTAATAATAATAAATTATTATAAAACTTAGTTAACAATAAAAAATGTAATCGCCTTAATTTCTGAAAATATTAGATGTAAATACATTAATAGCGCACGATCTTAAATTTTAAAGTTTTATGATTTTTTTACATAAATTAGTTAGAAAAGTTTTAACTTGTTATATACAGTTTTATAGACAATTTTATTAGCTTTATAGC